ATGATCGTGGGGTATATTTCTGCCGCGTATACATAGATAATACCATAAGAGCTGGTGATGAAGAACTTGCCGACCATTGCCACCGTAACCCTTAACCAGATGACAGGGTATGTGATGAACGGTATGATTGCCAAACACGACAGTCCACTGAAGTACATGAGCGCAGCGGTGACTGGCCGTCGGCCGACATATTTGAACGCGAAGACTGGGAACAGATAACTGGGAAACTCGACGACACCGGCGATGAAAAAGCTGATGAATAGGTCGCCCCCGAAGTCCCCGATGTTTAGTGATATGCCGTAATAGACAAACGAGTTGACAAACCACGTGAAGTACAGGATTAGGGTCGACCTCCGGAGGTTCGGTGTCGTTAGGAGGTCCACGAAACTGGTCCTAACGGTGGCGTCCACTTTGGACTCCTCCTCGGCTACAGTAGCCTTTAAGACCTCAAATTGGCTGCGGATGTCATCTATGGGTAGTTTATTACGGGTGACGGCTTTCGTGAGCTCCCGCTCAGCCCTATCCCACTGGCGGTGTGTGATCTGCCAACGGGGCGACTCCGGTATGGTTAACAGCCAGACCAGCCATAGGATCTCTGGCAGACTCGTGGCTAAAATCATGTGCCGGAAGTGTGGGAACAGGTATGCGATGCCCGGCAGTAGGCAATAACCCAGCGCCCAGCCTACTTGTATAAACATGCCTAATGTGGCCCTGTATTTAGGACCGACACATTCGTTGACTACAATATAATTAATTTAATTTAATTTAAATATTTTTTGCTGTATTATGAGGTGGACTGGTAGGGGAATACCTAACATGAACGTCGATAATAGCCGTCCATTGGATGCAAATGCGAGTATAATACGAGAAATTATGAAATGAGTTATATTCACAGATAATGCACTCGAGATTCCGGCTATTATTTCGATGATTATTGTCCACCATATGATGGGTAGTCGCCCGTACCGATCGGACAGGTAGCCAAATATGACGGCCCCTAATACATAGCCAAACATGTATAATGATTGGGACATTGACGCCAATCGGTTTCTATCACAGACCAGAGTCCACTGAAAAGTAGTTTAAATATAAGTAGTCCATTATAAATTAAACTAATTTAGGATTTTAATTAGTAATTGGATTTATTTTAAGTAATAATTAAGTTTTATAATTAGTTTTAATTGTTTATAATTAGCATATAGCTGCTTTTATTGTTCCTGCTATGTTTATATTGTGCTTAAAAATGTTTTAAACTGTTTTTAATGTATATCTATTTAAACAATTTGAATTGTTATTGATTTTTTATAGATTAAATAATTTGCATACATATTTGTTTGATTGTAGATTAGATTGTAAGTTCAATGCAAAATATAACAATTTAGTGATTTTCCTTAAACATAAATGATATGAATCTAAAAAATTTAAATAATAAGTTACTTAATGTGCATTTTATTCGTAATGAACTTAAAGCAAATGTCTATCTTAATTATTAATAAAATTAACTTAATTGCATTATGTAATTGCATGTATGGTTATACTGTAGTATAATATTTATAATTTTAAACCCACCTTATTGTAATATAACTCAAACCATAATACTCATAATTTGTTTGCTTTTAAAAAGTTATTGTATAATTAAATATTTATGTAGTGTGTTTAAATAAATTGTTCATAAAAAATATTTAAAATCTAATTTTGACATATTGTGCAATAAAATGACATTTTCTAATTACTAATTTCTAATTAGCTACAGTATTATTCAAACAAACAATTTAAACAAATTAAATAGCTTTGATGTGAAATTATGCAAATATGCAAATAATAAAAATTTCAGTTCATATTTATATAATTAAAATCATAGCATAAACTAAATTAATTGCAAGCATAAAGTTATATTTATATAATAAACAGCTGTATGTGCTAATGTCATGAACACAGAATAAACTTTATTATACACATACCAGTATGTTTAAATATTACCGGGTACTACTATATAATAATTATATAATGTTGTAGTAAACAAATAATGTCAAACCTCATCAATAATCGTCGACTCAAACACTGTTTTATCAAATTCCCAATTCTTGCAGCCATTCACACAACCATCGATTGCC